ATTGACTGTCTACGAGAGTAGTTGCGCTTAATATTTTTTTATTGCCATGTTTGTTTTTGTTTTATTCCATATTGCTATTGTTTAGCATGACGACACGACTCACTACTATTTGTTGTTGTATTTTTTTGTTATTATTATGAATACTGCTTCTGTTTTGCACGGTTCTTTTCCACACACACACAGCAAAATAACAACAATTGGCAAAATAGTTGATAAACACACAGATGTTAAAAAGGTGTGGGGGGCAGCCCGCATGTGGGGGGCATGGGCAAGACCTTAGATAGATGAAAGAAGAAATTTAAAAGATAGTGGTGGGGGATAATCTTTTTTCTTCGGTTATGCTGCGTACTTGAATGATTCTGCTACTTGGGTTGCTTGGTTAATTGTCAACAGTGTAGTGTGGAATACATGTTTGTTTATAAAATTGTTATTTTAGTTTCAAAACTAGACACAAAGTGAACAAATAACTGACAGAACACAAGGTCGGCGCTTGATCGAGCATTGCCCACCACACTACTGTTACCACCACTACTAATACTTGTGTTAATAAAAATAAATATAACAATTATTATAAGCAGTACATATTTGTGTAATTAAATGTGTGGGTTGTTGTTGTTACTACTTATAGATAATATTGTTGTTGTTTGTTTTGGTTTTTTTTTTGTTGAACACGAAGACGGCACAACAATACCCTAATTAACAATTATCTCATGATAATTTTGAAGAAAAAATATGAGTAGGCTGGTTGTCTGGCTAGTTTTTTAAAATTCAATAAAAATTATTTAATTATAGCCAGAAATGAATGATAACGACTTCAAAAAAAAAAAGTACTATAGAAACAGTGGGACAAGCAGATAGACTCTTCTCACACTTCCCTCTAAATTTAAATACAATTCATCATAAGATGATAGTGAAGTAAATTAGGGATACATAGGTCGACTTTTGATCAATCATAAAAAGGCACCTAGTTGAACCCAAAATGCAGAAATTGTTTAAAACATTCGAGCTGTTGAAACAAGTTAGCAATATATAGAATTAAACCGGCGCATTGGGACAAGGAAATAGACTCCCTTCTCACACTCTCCTCTTAATTTTAATACAATTCATCACAAGATGATAGTTGAGGTAAATTAGGGACACATAGGTCAACTTTTAATTAATCATATTCGAAACGAAAATGCAGAAATTGTTTAAAAAACTCGAGCTGTTGCAATATATAAAGAATTAAACCCGCTCTCAAAATTCTAAAACAAATTCGAAGTATGCTTCTAGTCCAAAGTGTTGAAGAAACGCATTCATCAATCGAGGGTCTTTGGAATTAAACATTCGGCAAACATCATTACGCCGTATTTCATGACTTATCGTTGAATTCTTGAAACGCACGAAAATAATACGGAATTAGACAAAAAAAAATCATCTTTACTGATGATTTCATTAAAAAAAACGCAATTTTCCCTAACTCTGCCACTATATTTGTGTCCCAAATCGATTCAGTCACTAATCGCCATAGTATTTTATTAATGGATTCTTCGGAGTTTCCTGGCCCAATGTAAATTTCTACTCCCAAAAAAACGCTTAGCACCCACAATCTACAACAACATCAAACCACTTCCACACAAAAAAACATAAATAAATTTTAGGCAATTTGTTAGAGAAAAACAGACAAAAAGCATAATCAACAAAAAGTAAGGAAAACATTAATTAGCTGTTAAAATAAAATGTAGTTTTGTGAATACGAAAAGGTTTATGTACGTATATCGGGGTAAGGCAGTGGTAGAGGAAAATGGTTAATAGCTCCAGTAGAGACGGACGTAGCCACAAAAAGTAGCACTGATATGTGGGTGTCAAATTAAAAAAAAGGAAAATGAAGGGACTAATTGAACCGAAACCGAACACTACCATATCCCCCAATTTAAGGTAGCATTATAAAAAATTTAGATGTTATTTTTAATAATCTGTCAAAGGCAAAGAGCAAACCTTAAACATCTGTCAACTTAACAACTGATTACTGACTTTCGCGAGCATTGGAATAATTTCCTGGTCTTAAAAAACAAACAACAGATCATGAATAACAAATCTAAATCCATATAATAGCAGAGAACAGGGCCTCAATTCTTGTTCTATGAAAATGTGAAATGAAAACTTTTATAAAGGAAAGAACTGTCAAATGAAAAATTTTCAAAAGGAAATATTTTTCATTTCATATTTTCATTGAACAAGAATCCAGGCCCAGAACTGAATTATAAAAATACATGCCTGCTTAGCTTCTTTCATAATTAATGACGAGCATTCTTTATTATGACATTGACTTGTTAATACTTTTAATTAACTTAAGCCTAGTTTCAATTAATATTTATTTGTTTGTTTTCTTTTTTCCAAAATCAAACTCGAACCATACCTTAACTGATTCTGGTAGTTATTCGAAAAAAAAAACAATGACTGAATCACATCAAACGCTTGAACTACTTGGTACCGTCAAATATGAGATATGCTGCTGGGTACAATCAATGCCAAGGTTATGTGGTGAATAAATATTAAAATTGATTACAGGTAATTCTTTTCTTAACCAAATATACCTTGAGCATAACCATGGAGGAGTTGCTTGTTCCATGTGCCATTGAAAGGTGGATTTTTCAAAAAAAAAAAAAAAAAAAAAAAAAAAATGCCCTAAAGAATTTGCAGTGATAGGGAGCCGTAAGGCACATCAGAATATGAAGATGATTTCTGACCTGCCGCTGATTTATGCTAAGAAGTACTAGTCAGTCAAACCTCGCCTGTCCAAAAACTGCACAGCTGAATGTGCAGTTCAAGAGGATATATAATATCGACGACAAACTATTCCAAAACCCTAGAAGTCACATTCTAGAGGTCATATTCAAGTTGTCTGCGCAAGCCACAGCCAACTGCGACAAAGTTAAAAGTAGGAAAAATATACTCAGGCGAGCTTGCCGGCAGCACTTGAAGTGCTCATAAGGAGACCTTGTTGACCTATGTCAGCTTTGCGGTCTCATTATGTACCAAAATGTCCTGAGAACAGCGACAGGGACACCAAGGCAAAAGCCCTTCCCGTATATCAGCATTACCATATGCTTTTGTTGCAACACCTAATTGGGTGTTATCGTGAAAGTCATACAAAACCATCATAAAATAGATAAAACTGGAAGCAGGTTATTCTTAGGAATAGGTTCGGCCAGATTGCCTTAGATATCCTAAAGGTCGGGCGACTTAAGGTCGAACCATATTGAAATTGTTGATGATCGGTGCAGATCTGCAAAAAGCTTCCATATATTACTCCGCCAAACTCTGTTAAAATGACCATTAGTTTCATCCGATTTTAAAATTTAAATCACTCAAAATCCGTAATACGAATTCAGTAACTATTTTCTAGCATAATTTTCTTGACAAATTATAGGTATCTCTTCTAAATATGCCTTGTCCCTGGTTTGTGCTTTCCTTACTGTTTCTTTTTGTTATGGACATTTTTACTCAGGAAAACTTGAGGGTTTGACAAGAAAACTTGGAGGAGCTCAATTCATTTGCATTAACTTGGGTGGGTTTTCAATTATTCCCAATTATCACAATATGTTCCGGAATTTATGTTCTGGATGGGTCATACTCGTACATGATATTAGCTAACCATCCGCCACCACCATGGAGATATCAATGTCAACTATTTATGGAAATTTGAGTTATTTCTTTGCTCTTCTTAGAGGTCAAAAGTGTCAGTGGGCCTTTACGAAAATATCTCAAGCAAATCTTGTTATTTCACATTAAAGCTGAGAAAAATAAACGATAAGAAACATAAAATACATTAGCAAATAAATTTCGAAAATGAATTTTAAAATACCCACAATATTCTTTTTTCACACTGCAGTCGTTGTTTTTGTTTCTTTCTTCTTTTTTTCTCTTAGCTAGAAATCTGCCATTGCCGTACTTGTTTTTAGCATTTCATGTTATTGTTTTGTGAACTGAATAGTTAAGGAGGAGGAGGCACTGAAAGTGGGGACAATGATCATGATGATGGTGGTGGAGGAGGATGGCGGTGATAGCAGTTTAATTGTTTTTGCCATTTCGATGCTGATATTTTTTTTTTCTTCTTCTTCTTGGCTTTTCTTTTAATTTTATACATTTTTTTATTCTCATTGCGGGTTGTTGCTACTCTAGGTGGCGGCTAGCTTGTTGTTGTTGTATATACAGTTGATGGTGATGACGTTGTTGTTTTTGTTATTGTTGTACAAATGTTGACGTTCATTGCAAATTGTTTTGCACTAACAGCAAAAACAACAACAACAAGAGTCGAGCCGACGTGCCGTATGTACCGTGAGTAGTGTAGTCGTGAGTGAAGGTTTTACACAATTGGGGTCGTTGATACTTGCAATAACAACATTGCTGCTAGCAGCGAAAAATATAGAAGGAAAACTACAACGGCGACAACGAAAGCAGCAATTACTGAAAAAAAAAACTAAACTGCAAAAACAAATAGTGTTCAAGTAGATGACAACCTAAAAAAAACTCTAAAACTACAGCAAAAACGTTATCCTTAGAGAAAGCTCGCTTGGCTTGCTGCTGTTTCCATTGCCACCCCCTAAATTTACTAAAGGCAATTTATGTACCAGGAACTTTGTTTTTTTTTTCGGGAAGTTGAAGCCATTACCACAATACCTGGCAACCATAAAATATTAATGAAATAAAAATAAAGAGAATAATGGAAAAGAAACAAACAAAAAAAAACAACAACGCAAATAAGGCCATACGGAACCAAAAAAAAAAATATGATAATCAAACACACACCACACACACGGTTCGGTTTTTGGGTACGTAACTGTATGTGTGTTTGTGTAAATGTGTATGGCCAATAAAAGTCCCAAAGCTGCTGCTGTTGCGTTTTTTTTCTGTTTTTTCTTTCTATCCCCTAATTTATCCAGCCATAAATTGCTTCTCAATACCTATAAAAGAGTTTTTCAATACGGTTTTCCTGCAGAAAATATCAAAAAACTCACCTTTTCCTGTTCACTTTGTGGAGTCATACACCCGCCGTCCGTCATCATTAAATAAACTTTTTCTCGTGCTTTTTTTTGACTTGCTAAAGAAACACTTTTTTCTCCAGATTTCTCTTGGCTTTTTTTTCTTGTTTTTACAAATTGCTTCTGCTTTTTTGGATAATTTTCAATGCTCAATTGCTTTATGCTATACTTTTTTTCCTTATTATATTTAGAAATTCACTGGTATTTCACTTCCTTTTTCTTATTAAATCACAATCTTTTTATAACTTTTTTCTCTTTTTTTCACTTTTCCGAATATTTTTCCGTCAGCTTGCGATGCTTCTTCTTTTTTGAGTAAAGCCCAACACACTTCGGAGTGGCAGTGCAAAGTTACGGCGTCGATGAAAAATGATGTCTCACGCCGTTAAGATTTGTTGCAGCGAACAGGGTTGTATTTCTGTACAAATTTCTGTGGCCATTACGGTACGTAACGTAAAGCTTACGTTACCAGACAATAAATGGCTAAACATTGATGTGTTCATCCGAATGATATACGATTTTGTGAACAAAACTATTAAGCAATGAGCTTCGCTTTCTGATTCTTTGAATTTTCAATTGGTAAAGGTAAGATAACTGATAACAGAGGATTACTCTTTTGCATTGTTCAATGCTAACAATTTTTAGAGTTACTAACGATATACATTACGATTTTTAGTACAAAAGCATCCAGATACATATCAAAAATCGAACATACCATCAAAAAATTACATTCGTAAAGGTTAATATCATGATACGGAGGAATTATGAAGAGAACGTAGTGCAATCATGTGCATACAATATTTCACAATTATATATTTGACAATGTCTAGTTTTCAAAATGTTTATTCAAAAATGGGAATCTATTTTCTATGTAGTTTATATTTTAATAGGTCAATTACAGAAAGTGCAGAGCTACTTATAACCGACAACCCCAAAGATGTAAGTACATAAGAAGCATGAAGTCATGGCTAGCCATTTCATGGCTACTTTAGTTGCAATTAAAGTTTATGTTGATTATTTATTTTATTTTTGTTAATTTAATTTATTTTTATTTATTTTTTTATTCATTTATTTACTTATTATTTTCCCATGTATTCATTGTTTATTTAACAAAATATTGACTTACGATAGTCGAAAAAAGCGTTTTATATATTTTCTCACCATTAATCTTTAAAAAATACTCGTTTCTATAAAATGCGTCATTTAACAATAACCGTGTTATCATTTCCCAGTGATTAGTCAGACGAAATGCCACCGCCGCCGAAAAAATCATGCAACTTGGTTGTTTAAAAAACAACAATAACAAAGACGTTTCAAAAGTTGGACTTGGCTTCGTTTGTTGAAAAACACGACGATTTTCGATAAAGATTTGGAAATATTTCACAAATTATTGATTTGCTCTTGAAATTAAGGTAAGATTCGTTAAATATATTGAATTGCAGTCAACAAAACTTACTTCAAAATACAAAATAGGCTCAAAAATAAAATATCAAGATAAAAATGCCGACTAAAAGAAAACACACGCACGCATACCAATGAATGAAAAAAGTAGCAAAATCAAAACAACAATAACAAGCCTACCGTACCGTATCAACAACAGTCGGCAGCAGAATGCAGAAATAATAAATTCTGTTCCAAAATAATTAATAATATTCTTTCTTTTTCGTTGTGTTTGTGCGTGTTGCGATCTGTCGGCTTTTGTTTTCACTTTGTTTTGTTATTGGCTGACTTTCTTGCTTTTGAATATTCATGATTTTTAATTATCCAATTTCTTTTTTTCCATTCTGCCATTTCAGGTGTGCGTGTTGAACATAGCATACAAGTAACTCTTGGTGTTCATAGGGTTTGCGGCAATCAAAACTGGAACGAAAAGTGCAAAATTTCGGAGTTTTTTTGCAAAGAATATAAACAAATCAGGTGCTAAATTGAAATAATTTAATTGCGGCGACTTAGCTTTTGGAGATAAAACAACGAACGGTTTTGTGGTTGCTGTATTTTTTTTATTGACTTGACCTTAAAGTCCATTAATTTTGATATTTGCTGCTGACTATAATTCCAAGCATACGATTATCCATACGATATGAAAATTACGGTTACCACCACGTCGACCGATAAGGTCTTTTTCCTCGATGTCAGTGAAGATTTGGAATTGGAAAACTTTAAGGCTTTCTGTGAGGTTGAATCCGGCATAGCCGGTGCCCAAATGTTGGTAATATTCAATGGCAAACCTCTGATGGATAACAAACAGCCATTGAAACATTTCGGCATCAAGGATGGCGATTGTGTTATATTGCAAAAACGAGAAATGCGACGAGAACCAGCAACTCGTCCACCGCCAACACCTATGGATTTGGGTAAGTGTAAGCAACCATCTATGGTGAAATAACCCCATTAATGTAATTATGTATGTATGTTAATATCCATAAATGCAGCCAACAAATTCGAGTGAGCAATGCAAGTAATGAGTGTGGGCGCAACCAAATCCTCCAAAAATACCCAAAGTTGATGCGTATTTACGTTTTGGATGTTTGTGTGCGCGTGTGTGTGATGGCGTGTTTACTTCATGCTACACATTTTGTGCATGTGTCATTGTCCATTAATTGTGCTCGTTTTTGCCTGTCCAAATTACAATACTTTTCGAAAAAGATGCTAAATTCTTGAAGAAAACAATATGTCTTTTGGCCACAAGAAGAAGTGGGTCAATGATCTATGAGAGAATGCGTGTGGTATAATGACACTAATTTGCAAATATTTGGTGTGTGCGTGTGTGTGTCTGTGCGGCTTTTGAAAACAAAAATCTTAATTAATTACTGAAAAAAAAGCGGGGAGAGATAAAACTGTTATGGAAGTAGATAAAATTTGGAAATAAGTATGAAAAGATATTGGAGTATTGCAAAGTAATTCAACAGGAAATGGGCTTGGAGGAATATTCCAAATATCTGGGATCTTAAAGCATACTTCTACAAGGATTCGAGAGTTGCTTGCGGGGTATATTAAAAGGAATGTTGTGGCTGATTTTTTAAGATTTTTTTCAAGTACCATCCGACACATAAATCTGGTATATATTTTTGGGGATCAACAGGGAAAGCATCCCGAATTTTTAAGAATAGACGCTTAATGACCAAAATCGCTGGATTGTGGATGAAAGGTCTGGTATAATAGCCTATGTTTAAATAATTTTTTTGTAAGTGTTCCTTGGACCGAGATACTTTACAGGTCTTCTATGAATAGAAGACTAACAGGTCTGCTATGAAGAAAACACAGTGTACAGGATTGAACCCCATAAAGGTTATCTAGCCTAAAAATATAATACCTTTGAGACGTCCACTTTGGGCAGATGGACATTTAGAGGTTTTCTATGGCTAGAAGACATTCCACAGACCTTCTCCAGATTAAAAATAGACAATAGATAGAATACCTTTGACAAGTCCACTGTGGCTAGAAGGCCATTTGGTGTGGAAGACATTCCACACGTCCTCTCTAGATTGAAGGTTTTTTGTGTTTTTCTAAGATGTTGTACAGGTCTCCTATGCATAAAAGATGTTTAGAATAACGCCTAGTCACGGAGGCATTTCGCAGGTCTCATATGCAAGAAGCACTTCCTACAAGAATTCCACGCAGTCCTCTGCTTGCCAATGAAAATTTTCTTCTTTGAGAGGCCATCCAAAGATAGAGGACCTTTGATAAATTTGTTATGGATTGGATTGGAGAACCTTTATTGCATTGATTCTTATTGGTCTACTATTGATCATTTATTATTTTTTTCTACAGTCTCTTCTCCAAATCTTAGTCCTTTCCTAATTATTATGCCCTTCACCATAGTATGGAGGGTATATAAAGCCTTCCATTCCGCTTGTAACACCTCGAAATATACATTTTAGACCCCACAAAGTATATACATATAAATTCTTGATCAGCATAAAATTCTATGTCGATTTAGAGGTTTCGCCTATCCGTCCGTCGTCTTGGGAAATCACTCTAGCTTCCGAACGAAATTAAGTAGCTTGATCAAATTTTACTCAAGTGTATATTATGTCTGCAGGAGTTTTGGTATTGAAAATGGGCCATGTAGATCCACGTTTTGGTATAGCTCCCATATAATGGTACCTTCCTATTTTCGGTATTTTGATGATTTTGGCGACATTATTCATCGGAATTGTTTCAAATTTGATATTTGAAGTTCGTAATGGATGCTACAGCCTATGACAGAAAATTGTCTGTGCAGGTCCACGTACCTCCCGATATTCGGTATTTTGATGATTTGAGCGACATAATTCACCGGAATTGTTTCAAATTTGGTATTTAAAGTTCGTAATGGATACTACAGCCTATGACAAAAAATTGTCTGTGCAGGTCCACGTCTTCGTATAGCCCTCATATAACGGTACCTCCTGATATTCGGTATTTTGATGTTTTTAGCGACATCATTCACCGGAATTGTTTCAAATTTCGTAATGGATACTATATCCTATGACAGATAATTGTCTGTGCAGGTCCACGACTTCTTATAGCCCCCATATAACTGCACATCCCGATATTCGGTATTTTGATGATTTTAGCGACAGTATTCACTGGAAATGTTTCAAATTTGGTATTTGAAGTTCTTAATAGATACTACAGCCTATAACAGAAAATTGTCTGTACAGATCCACGCCTTCGTATAGCCTCCATATAACGACACCTCCCGATATTCACCGATTTTTTCAAGTTTCGCATTTGAATATTGTAATGGCTTATGACAGAAGTTGCCTATGCAGGTCCACGTAGTCGCATAGACCCTAATATTACGGCTACATTCGGTATTTATAAGATTTTAAGAGAATTTTTTAAGAATTTTATTTATTTTTTAATTGCCAAGTTCTTTCCCGAACTTTGAATACCCTCCAATTCAAAGTTCTGTCGCTTGAACTTAAAGCTTTTTTACTTGTTTTTGATAAAATGTGCCCACATTATTTCTTCAAGGCTGCACATTCTCTAATTTGTACATGAGCCCAATGAATCAGTCGATAGAGTTCAATGTCAAGTTCAAGTATTTTCGGCTATGTGGGAGCACAAACATGCACCAAACATCAATATGTTAGCAAATAAACAAATTTCATTAGAAACCCATAACAAATACAAAAAAAAATTGTTTAAACAAAAATAACTCTTTTCCTCTCCCACTCTTTATCTTCCAGACGAGGCGGCTATACGCAGTTTGGACTTTAGCAATATAAGTATACCAGGCACTAGTAGTTCAGGATCTACGGCATCGAGTCTTGCTGCTGGTGGTGCATTCCGTTCCTTACCCTCGGCCAGTGGCGTAATCAATTACAATGATTCAGATGAATTCAATGTCAACTATGACGATGACCCAGCCACGGTGCGTCAAATGTTCTTGGAAAATCCTGAATCATTGGCATTGCTGAAACAAAACAATCCTCGTTTGGCCGATGCTTTGTTGTCGGGCAATTTGGAGACCTTTAAAACGATTTTAAAGGAACAAATTGATGCACGCAAGGAACGCAATGCACAACGTCTGCGTATGCTAAATGCTGATCCATTTGATGCGGAAGCACAGCGTCTAATCGAAGAGGAAATCAAACAGAAAAATATACAAGAAAATATGGCAGCGGCCTTGGAATTTAATCCGGAAATCTTTGGAACGGTTATTATGCTGTGAGTTCACCTATTTTTCAAAAAGAAAAATAATTTTGAAACTAATTTGTATTTCGTTTTTTTGCCTCCAGTTACATTAACTGTAAAGTAAATGGTGTCCCAGTAAAGGCCTTTGTCGACTCTGGCGCCCAAACCACCATTATGAGTTCAGCCTGTGCTAAACGTTGCAATGTCACACATTTGATTGACACCAGGTAATATAGAGAGTTTCAGGAACTTTTTCTCAAACAAACAAAAGAAAATTAAATGAAAAAAAAAACTATCTTTGCATTTTAATAATGAGCTTTCCTTTCAGTACTTCATGATCTGTAAGGCTGTCTATTAACTTTGCTCCAAATGGTTTTGAAAATGTAAAAATTAATTTATTTTCATATTTTACAACATTTTATAGATGGAGTGGGATTGCCAAAGGTGTTGGCACTCAACGAATCATTGGCCGTATCCATATGGTACAGCTGCAGATTGAAAAGGACTATTTGGCTTCGAGTTTTTCGGTGCTGGAACAACAGCCCATGGACATGTTGCTGGGCTTGGATATGCTCAAGAGACATCAGGTAGGATTTAAAGAATTTTCGCTTGGATTTGTGAAAATGTGTTTTAACGAGTATCCGATTTGATCCAAACTTGGTACATCGTAATATGTTTGTCAAACTTAAATCGAGTCCGAAGATGGACAATATCGGTTCACTCCTTCTGGTACCTCCCCCGCAAAATGTCAAAATTTTGAATGAAAATAATTTACTGCAAATAACGTGAAAGGATGATACGAATTTGCTCCAACTTTGCAAATCCTAATATTTGCATCAGTGCTAAGATAGGTGCGAAAATGGACAATATCAGAGCACTCCATGAAGTACCTACCCCACAAAGGGTCAAAATTTTGAATAATTATAACTCTCATAAAATGTGATGTAAGAGTCCGATTGTCTTCAGACTACACACATCACAATATTTTTATTATCCTAAGGTCTGATGCGAAGGTGGAATATATCGATCTACTCCTTCGGGTACCTCCCCCACAAAGGGTCAAAATTTGGAATATCTATGAAGCTCATAAGTCGCGAAATTAACATCCGATTCCACTCAGACTTGGCACATCTCTATATTTCCATCAACACAAGATCTCTTATAAAAGTGGTAGAGATCGGTCCATTCCTTCTGATACCTCCCCCACAAAGGGTCAAAATTTTGAATAACCAAAACGATAATAAAATCCGAAATAAGCATTCGGCTCTCTTCAAATTACACACATCACAATATTTTTATTAACCCAAGGTCTGGTGTGAAGATGGGATATATCGGTCAACTCTTTCTGGTACCTCCCCAACAAAGGGTCAAAACATTGAGTATCGATGAAGCCCATAAAACGGGAAATTAACATTCGATTCCATTCAGACTTGGTGCAACTCAATATTTCCATCAACAAAATATCTGTTATAAATATGGTTGAGATCGGACCATTCTTTCTGGTACCTCCCCCACGAAGGGTCAGAATTTTGAATAACAAAAACGGCCATAAAATCCGAAATAAGCTTCCGGTTCTCTTCAAATTTCACACATCACAATATTTTTATTAACCCAAGGTCTGGTGTGAAGATGGGATATATCGGTCTACTCCCTCTGGTACCTCCCCCACAAAGGGTCAATATTTTGAATAACTATGAAGCCCATAAAACATAAATCACACATTCAGACTTGGCACATCTCAATATTTCCATCAACACAAGCTCTGTTTTAAAGATGGTAGAGATTGGTCCACTCCATCACGTACCTCCCCCACAAAGGGCCAACATTTTGAATATTCATGAGGCTCATAATTCGCGAAATTAACATCCGATTCCAATCAGACTTGCCACATCTCAATATCTCCATAAAAACAAGATCTGTTATAAAGATGGTAGAAATCGGTCCACTCCTTCTGGTACCTCCCTCACAAAAAAATCAAATTTTAAATATCCATGAAGCTCATAAAACAGTTTAGTTTTAATAACAAAAATCTTCTTCTAATTTAGTGCAACATAGACCTGCAACGCGATGTCTTGCGTATTGGTACCACCGGCACCGAAACTCCTTTCTTAGCCGAAAATGAACTGCCCGATTGTGCCCGCCTCTCGGGCAATGCTGACGAAGAACTCAAAGCTCTGGAACAATCTGCCAACGACTCTGAAGCCCAGGCCATCAAAGAAGCCATTGAACAGAGTAAACGAGAGGCAGCCAGTGGTAGTGGTGGAGGTAAATGAAAAATAGTGCACACAACAAAACCCATACAAAACAAAAATATATTATTCTTTAAAATGTGTATAAAACATATATGGTGGATGTGTGTGTGTCTATGTTTGTATTTTCTTTTTTCAAAATTCAGCCTGCACAGCCTCTGCAACAGCAACAGCAGCAACAACATCTACGGCGACAGCAACGGCTACGGCCAATACAACAACGTCGGCAGCCAATTCAAATACATCAAACTCATCTAATGGTGAAAATTTCAATGAAGCCGATGTTGCTGATCTCATTAAAATGGGCTTCACCCGTGAAGAAGTTTTGGAGGAACTACGCCGCTCCAATGGCAATAAATTGCAGGCTACGGCAGGGCTTTTAGCCAAATCTTTAAAGTTTTAAGTAAAAAACGAAAATTCACAAAAATTAAAAAAAAAAACAATTAAAAATCACACAAACAAAACGTTATCCATCATAAAAAGAAAAAAATAATAATACCTCCTTTTTTGGCGATTTTTTTATATAAAAAAATGAAAATAACTTTAAGTAAATTAAATTTTAAGTATAAAAATATATATATACATACACAAATGAACAATGAATGAAGAACTTTGAATTTGATAAACAAAAAAAAAAAACATTATAAGAAAAAAGAAACTTAAATACAAAATTTAGTATAATTTTGTAAAACACAATATTGCATAATTATGAAGTTATTAAAAAAATAATTAAGAAAATGTTTTCTTAACAAAAAAGTAAAGACACAAAACATTTATGTTAATGCATGACATATAAATATTAAAGACTCTTAAACATTGTTGGGGAAATGAGCAAAAATCTTAATCGGTTTGAGGAACAAATAGTTTTTACTGTGGCTATGGTTGAATACATTAAGTCAAAGGTGGTTAAATTGCAACTTGAGAAGTTTTTAGATAAGATGTAGAGCAAAGCATAGTAGGTCAGGAGTTCAAATGAAAAAATGAGATTTCCAAATTTATAGAAATAATGTAATTATGTAAGATTTTTTCCCAAAGTATACTTTCAATGAAGACTTAAGATATTAATTAAAAATTTAGAAAAAAGAAAACAAAAAACAAAAAATTTTTTTTTAATTTTTTTTTTTTTTGTTTTTTTGGAAGACAAGAAAGTGATGTTAATTTTGGAATAATTTTTAAAAGCATAATACAATTTTTGAATTTCAAAAAAAAAAAAAAAAAAAAAAAAAAAATGTTCTTAAAGATCGGAAAATATTGTGGATTTGAGACCAGAAAAATTTTCCGATTTTTATACCCTTCGTCACACTGAGATCAAGGTATTACTTCTTTGTGTGACTGTTGGTAACATGCAGAGGAATACGAAATACGACTCATAGTTCCTTTTGATTATCTTCATAGAATCACATTTTGAGTAGATTTTTGGATCCCCGTATTTTCGAAAATTGAAATGAAATTTTCCACAAATCATTTGTTTGGCACAAGAACAAGAACCCAAAATGGTTGGAAATCGGTTCAAACTTAGATATAGCTCCCACTTATAGTGTCGCCCGATTTAATAAGTATTGTGCATCAAATGTGTAATATTCGTCCTAATAGGATGTATTTCGGCACATCCAATCGAAGCTAGTAGTTTAAAATGTGGTGAGAATCGGTTCAAATTTAGATGTGTATCCCATATATAGTGTCGTCCGATTTCATAAGTATTGTGCACCAGTTCAGTCCAGAAGTATACTTGGCAATTTTGGTAAATATCGGTTCAGATTTAGATATAGATGCCATACATATCTTCGTCCGATTTTATAATTATTGTGCACCAAACGTGTAATATTCTTCCTAATAGGATGTATTTCCGCACATCCAATCGAAATCTGTCTAGAAGCTAGTAGTTTAAATTTGGTGAGAATCGGCTCAAATTTAGATATAGATCCCACGTATATTTTCGTCCGATTTCAAAAGTATTGTGCACCAAATTCGTAATATCGGTCCGAATCGGATGAATTTTGGAATACTGGGCCAAGTTCAGTCCAGAAGTATATCTGGCAATTTTGGTAAATATCGGTTCAGATTTAGATATAGATCCCACATATATAGTGTCGTCCGATTTGATAAGTATTGTGCACCAAACGTGTAATTTTCGTCCGAATAGGATGAATTTCGGCACATCCGATCGAATTCTATTGATTGATGGAGATTGATTCATCCGATTAGGTGTTTCAAGTCCCCCGCTTTCGTAATATGAACTCCACAAGAATTATATTTGGTACCAGACAGCAGATACAGCTCAGACGTAGCTCTGCGAAATTTTATCAAGATTGGTTCAGATTTGGATGTATCCCCCATGTGCATATCTTCAAACGATTTCAGGTATATTGTGCACCAATTGGCCAATATTAGTCCAAATGTCCTGCATTTTGGTAGCGCCAACCAAATTCAGAGTACATCAAACTTGGGGAAATCGTGTAGTTCCCACTACAACTCAGAAATAGGTGTTTAAAATTTTGTCATATTTCTGTACACAAATGGCTTATAACAGCCCAAATGGACTGAAATTTGGCAATTCCGACTGATTTCATGCTAGAAATAAATAGAAATAAAATTTGGTGGAAATCGGTTCAGATATAGCTATAGCTCCCATATATATGTTTCATCCGATTTGGTGTTTCAAGTCCCCCACTTTCGTAATAAGCACTCCACAACAATGATATCCGAATAGAAAAGATCTGTAGAATTTCTCTAAAAAAAAGAGAGGAGGTGTGGAGCTTTTATTCTGAGAAATTTTGTGGTTTAGATGACCTCGTGGCACTGAGTATTCCAAACATTTACTATCCAACATCCATGACTTTTGAATTCAATAAAAATCTAAGTTTCCTATTTTCAATAGAGGACTTCTCCTTTAAACAAGGATCCCCAGGTCTTTCATATTCAGTTTTGATTCCTCTACAAGTTCAATTTTCGATAACCTAATGGAAGACTTCTCGGACTCCTTTAATGTTTTTTTTTTCAAAGACATGCGAAAAATTATAGTTTTAGGGAATAATTCATTATAACCATTATACGAACGCCACACACAACAACATCATGAGAAGAAGCCTAACATTTTTTTAAAAAAAGAAAATTACGAACTACCTCAGGCTTGAAGCATTTCTCGTTATAATACTAATTCAAAAAAAAAAATACTTAACATTTTTAAACTACAAAACAAAATTAGAAAGGAAAAAAATACGTAAACGAATTAGAAACCCCAAAAAATTCGTTAAAAGAATCAACAACAACAACTAACATAGATTAAGAGCTCATTTCAAAATAGCCTAAATATATAAATAAGACCAAGTGAACCCCCTCATTCAAAAATAATTATGAAACAATAAAATTCGTCAACGAAGTTAAAAACTAGCTTGGATAACAGTTTGAAAACGCAATTTTAAATAATATTAAGAAATCGAAAATCAATATGTAAAAAACGAAATCTGTTTTGAAATGGTTACAATGTGAGAGAAATTTAAATAAATCGTGAACTATTCACAAAAAAAAAAAAAAATAAAAAGCTGTAAGTTTAGTTATATAGGGGCTATACGAAGGCGTAGACCTGCACGGAAGATATTCTGTCATAGGCTGTGGTATATATTACGAACATAAAATAACAAATTGGAAACAATTCCGGTGAATAATGTCGCAAAAATCATTAAAAAGCCGAATATTGGGAGATATACAGTTATATGGGGGCTATACGAAGACGTGGACCTGCACAGACAATTTTCTGTCATAGGCTGGAGTATCCATTACGAACTTCAAATATCAAATTTGGAACATTTCCGATTAATAATGTCGTTAAAATCATCAAAAGACCGAATATGTAGAGGTATCGTTATATGGACCTGCACAGACAATTTTCTGTCATAGGTTGTAGTATCCATCAGGAACTTCAAATACCAAATTTGAAACATTTCCGGTGAAAATGTCGCTAAAATCATCAAAATACCGAATATCGGGCGTTACCGTTATATGGGGGCTATACAGAGACGTGGACCTGCACGTATAATTTTCTATCATAGGCTACAGCATCCATTACGAACTTCAAATACCAATTTTGAAACAATTCCGGTGAATAATGTCGCTTAAATCACCAAAATACCGAAAAATAGGGAAGTACCATTATATGGGGGCTATACGAAAACGTGGACCTACACAGACAATTTTCTGTCATAGGCTATAGTATCCATTACGAACTTCAAATACCAAATTTGAAACAATTCCGGTTAATAATGTCGCTAAAATCATCCAAATACCGAATATCGGGAGATACCGTTATATGGCGGCTATACCAAAACTTGGACCGACATGGCCCATTCTCAATAACAAAAGTCCTACAGTCCAGCAATATACATTTGAGTACAATTTTATCAACCTACTAAATTTCGTTCGGAAGCTAGAGAGATTTCCACAGACGGACGGACATCGCTAAATCGACACAGAATTTTATGCTGATCAGGAATATATACTTTGTGGGGTCTAAAATGTATATTTCGAGGTGTTACAAACGGAATGACAAACTTAATATACCCTCCATACTATGGTGGAGGGTATAAGAACAACAACAAAATTGCCAATTTGTATTGCAGGTGGAGGTAGACCTTCGCATCTGGATGTCCGCAAGATGTTTTCCACTAAAATATAGTACCGAAGGGTTCTTTGATGAACTAAAAGAAACACCTACATCTCCTAGATTTCATAACTAACCTTTAAGACATCCATAAACAATAATAACACTCTTACTTGGTCTAGTGTTGTCTAAAAGAAGACATTTTGCTGTTGAGATCTATTTCTTATCTTTGCCATGATTTTTGGAGTCAGCGAGCCGCGGCTTTCTATCTTCAACTGGACAGGAAAACGAAGTTTTAAATTTCGAATTCCATTGATCAAATTTAATATAACACAGTCGGATTTTTTGTTTGGGTTGGATGTAACCTTTTAATGTTTGTTGGTTTTGTTAAACATTTGCACAAGAATGGAAAAAACATGTTTTTTTTTCTTGATGTTCTGGTATATAAAAAAGAATCTATGGAAACTGTACACGAAGTAAAAAAATTAAAAGCCCTTTCATCAATATAATAAATATTGTTTTGTTTTAGGAAAATCTTCTTGTTCAACTAGTGCGCGGGGCTTATTATTCTTCATCCTCTTCATCATCCTCGTCTTCGTCATTGCTCTTGGCTGAGTTGCGGCCACCCTTATTGTTGATAGATTCATTTTCTGGATCGAATGTCATGCCCTCCTGGTCATCTTCCTCCTCTTCGTCGTCATCACCACCCACCTCAGCATTTTCGGCCTCAGCCTTTTGCAAGCGTCTAGCCAATTCAGCTTCATCGATGGCAGTAACCAATTTGGGTGGCATAACAACCTTAAATTCGCCACCATATTCCAAGATTTTGGCTCTGATGTTTTCAATGGCCTGTTCCAAGATTTTCAGGCCCTCGGCCTTCTTTGTGGTTGAAGTGGTCATAACATAGCTAAAACAAAACAAAAACCAAAATCAATTCATGCCAACTCTCATATATCCCCAAAAACTTACAGTGGAGGAGCAATCAAGTTAATACGTATGGGCAATTCTTCATTGCTCAATTCCAAACCGGTATTAAGTGAAGCCTTGACAGCATCAATACCCTCATAGCCGTAACAGGAACACTCAATATCTGAACGTATTTTAACTGTGGGCGATACCAATTTACGCTTGACATTGTTCAACAACACCTCCTTTGTCTTTTCATCCAAATCGCATTCATCGAACACCGTGGGATCTTCAACCGACTGTTTGAAGATATCATAGGCAGCCGATTTGCTATTGTATTTCTTCTCAAAATGCCAGGCAGTCTTTTGATACAATTCCTCCAATTGGTCACTCGACTCGTAACCCAATAAATTGGCAACGTGACGCAATAATAGATCTACCGCCTTGGCTTTGGCAAAACGTTCTGTGCATTTCTCCACATCTTCGGGTGACACACGGCGTTTTGACAGATCAATATAACCTTTCTCTTTATCCACACGTATGACAACGACCGGCTCGGTTTTGCCAACACGAATCAATTTGTTTATGGAACGAATACGACGGCGGGACAATTCCGAGAGCAGAATCATGCCCTCAATGTTGTTGTATTCCAGCAAATGCACATAGGCACCCATTTCGGCAATGGAGAGGACATTGACCATGACAACATCTTCCACTTCGGGATATTTTTCACTGTAGAAACGTGACGTTAAAGCCATATTTGCAAAATACCGTTAAATTGTTGCGTGCACTCTATGGAATAAACTGATGAAATTGCTGTTAAAAATTAAAATTTGCAGCAATTTTCACTTAAATAGCAAAAACGTGCCAACGTTTACGGGCGGATAATAGGTATTCCTAGATCGATTTTTTGTCGAGAGAGTTAGAAATGTCAAAATATATCGATGGAAGGCGATAAATGCGCACAATCGACTGTAGGGAAAATTACACCGGTCAATTGGTTAAAAAATACAACCCTGATGTTCAATTGTGAAGTAGAGTACACAACATCACTCTTGATTGGATTTTTTTGCTTAAATGTCGATTGCGCTAGCTTGGTTCTATTGCGTATGCGTCAAATAAAATACTCTATATCAGAAATTAAGAATATATACTTTATATTGTTTTAAAAAATAAAAACAAAATATTTTTAAATTCAATGATTCTAAGAAACGTACATTGCGGGATCGTATTAAAGTATATTAACCAGTTTTGTCACAAAATTGAAAGATTGAACAGTTTGGATCATATTTTTGACAGGATATCCAGGTATTTCATGCATCTTTCACGCAATTTAACTAATTTCAAAAATAAGGAAACCTATACAATAAATGAGAACAGGAAGCGGCTATATACTAAAGGTTCTACCTCCTTATTGTATCCTTGTGACGTAGGAGTACCGACGATTACAGCAAACATAAACCAAACCATAAATGAAAATGTTAAAATTCTGGTATTGCTCGTTGATTTGTTTGTCCTTTTCTTTGCTTGTCAGCAATATTAAATTTATTTTGATTCCATTTGTTGGGAATGTCAACAATTTTTAGGATTTACAGTATTTAAAAAAAGATCAACAGTGGCGACAATAATCTAACCAGTGTATGTTCCAGAACTACAAGAATGTAAATCTTTTTACGATAATATTGGTATTTTCCTTTATGACATGGAAAAATAATTAAAAGAACTGGTAAATTTGTTGGAAATTAAATTCGAATTTACAGCCTTTTTATCGAATTGGATAAAAAAAAAACTATGTCAGAACGCGAAATTGGGAAAGATTCGTGATTCCAATTCATTTTTCGCGATTGTATCTTAAAATATTGTGAAAATATCAAAACAAAACAACTTGTTGCTATCGTGATACAATCATTACAAGATATGGCAGGTTGATTTAATTTTAAACATTGCCGTGAAGTTAGAGTGAAATTAAATCCAAATCCAGTGGGTTAACCCTCATATATATAAACGTACTATTATAACAAATACGACATATTTTTTTGTTCACTTTTTTCACAATATTCTAATTTAAGAGGAATTTACGAAAGATTAATGCAACATCACGGATTTTTCACAATATCGAGTTCAAAATTTTATTAAGTATTTTATTAAATTAAAAAGGAACTATTATTTTCCCTTAAGTTGTAAATATGCCAGAAAATTTGTCTTCTGTAAACGCCAGGCGAAATATAAATCCCCCACTAGCTACCATCGACAAAACATTGACGGGCCATCAATCCACAGTGAATGTCATGCCTTGTGGGCGGATGTAGTTATCAAAGCTTTGTTATTCTCCCCATCGTCACGTTGTAACCGATAACCGGTAGATGTTGTCTCATTTTCATTGGAAGAGGAAGAATTTCGCCGCGAATGCGTGAATGATTAACAGCCGACATAGAAAAATAAAACATGGCTGAAAGAAGAGGTGGTTTTGATCAACCTAGGTAAATATTTGTTAATTTTTGTGCATTTTAATAACAAAAGCTAAGTGGAAATTGTAGAAATTTGTTATTGCCCAACTTCGTGCAATGTGGTGTATGAAAAATTGTCATGAACTTGTAAAAATAGTGCATAAATGATGGACGGAAAAAATTGCTCTCGAACGAATGGTGTGTGTAGTGTGTTTGGGTGTATATAAGTGTGTGCGTGCGAGTGTGTGTGCTAGAGTGGGTAAAAAAGATTTTTCGCCGCCCTATACACGGTATGAAGAAGATATATGGAACCTCTTAAACAACCAGCCGCGACCAACCAACCGACCGACCGACCGACCAAGCAACCAACAACGAACGTTGTGTATGAATCGAATTCAATAATATGCCTGTATGGGAACATAGTGTGTTTCCAAGTATTATTCATGGAATTTTTTGGTGGGAACTGTGACCAAAACAACAAGGAAGTGTAATGCTAGATTGGAAAGATGCTGTCTTCATTTTGCCTGCAATAGTTTTGTTTGTGTGTGTGCTTTCGCCTGTCCCGGCGGCGAATACATTGTGTGTGTCCACCGTAAAGGGTTTTTTGCGGTTCTGTAGGGTGGAAAATGTCAAAGTACGATAATATTATTGCGGAGAAAAAAACACCAACAAAAATGTGTTCTACTAAATTCTGCCATCTACGACAGAGCAGCCAATGAGCTCTGTTTACTTGGCCGTTGCCAAAAAAAAATTCGCCCTGCAAACTCTTTATCGTCATCATAAACCACCATCATCATCATTAAATATCGGCTGGTTTGTTGGAGTGTGTGTGGTGTGAGTTTTATTTTTGTTGCTTTTTCGGCTTTATTTGTTATGTTTCTTTCCTAGACTCATTCATGCCCGAGCAAGCGACCGCCCGCCCGCACTTTTGCCATTATGTTTGCTGCTGATGATGATTTTGTGTGAATGACGAATATTTTGTTTTGTGTCTGTGGTCTCGATTTTCTACAGCGATTATAAGTTCCTAATGACGTTTGTTTTATTTGGGAAAATCACATGCCGTCTCCCAGAAAAAAGAAAGCCAAGCCTCTTATTTTGGTGATTTCATTCACATTTTCCTGTGTGACCACTATTCCGGTTGCTGGTGTCTTTTGTTCCAATTGAGTGCCAATCAATATTTTTTGATTTTGATTGATGCTGTCGGTCTTCAAACTCATGGGAAGTCCCTGTTTCTGGATTATATAATGGCGATTCCGTAAAAAAATACAAAACCAGATACAATTGTCATTCCGAAACGTTTGTATTTCTCGTGATAAGATAATGGGCATGTGTTGGTAATTCTACTGGTTGGCTGTTTAATATCTTGTATTTGGGGTTTAGCGGCACGTGGATACTTTTTCTTGTTTCGCATTTATTTTTGTTTACGTTTCAAATATCAGAAGGGGAATGTGTCCAAATATCGGTTTGTCATATTTAATGTGGGGAATAATGTTTTTGGATTTGTATTCAAATGGCATGGGGAACACCCGAAAATAATACATTTTTAGCGCATTTTACAATGAAGAGGCTGGAATCGCTTGATTTTGAAATACATCGGTGTTTCTCCGTTTGGAAAAAACCAGAACTAGAAGTGCAGGATAAGCCAGGATTAGTTTTGTCAATTTTGCTTTAAAATAATTTTTATTTTTTTTTATTATTGAAACAAAATATAATTTTCCCTCCTTTTTTCCTTCTCTCTTTTTAGAAATTATGGTAACAAACAGCTACCAACCGAACCCCCGTATACTGCATACGTGGGCAATTTACCCCAACGTCTTGTTCAAGGCGATGTCGTTAGAATTTTCCAATATCAAGGCTACAAGGTGAAGAGCGTCCGTTTGGTTAACGATCGTGTTACAGATGTTTTCAAAGGCTTCTGTTATGTGGAATTCGAAAACTTGGAAACACTGGAAGAAGTTTTACGTCTTGATGGTCTGATCAATGTTGACGATAATGGCAAGCCCTTGCGAATTGATATTGCTGAGAGCAAGAGAAATGATCGGTAGCATATGCATTCTTAAATTAACATAGAACATGAAAAAATTATTAACATATTTTTGTGCAATTACAGTCCCGGCGGTTTCCAAAAACGTGGACCACCAAGGCAAGATGGTGGCAGTGGTGGTGGTGGCGGCGGCGGTGGTCGTCATCAAAACTTTTCCCGCGGCGGCGGTGGTGGAGGAGGTAATCGAGGTGGCGATCGCGGCCACGATCGTGGTGGTGATCGTGATAATAGAGGTTCGTACAATGATAATCATGGTGGTCACAATGATAGAAATCGTGGAGGCGGCGGTGGTATGAATAGAGGATATTCCGGTAAATATATAAGCCAGTCTTATATAACAACTACCAAAAAACAAATTCTCAGAAAACAGCACAGCTATTTAAACTCTTATTTTGGTTTTCTTTTGTTGTTTCCAGTAGTTAACAAACTTTTAGCATCCCACTTCTATTAATTTTTTTTTTGTGTTAATTTTTATTTCAATATTCCCAAAACAATTTTTGGCCAAGACACACACACACTCAACACAACAACATACATTATTTGCCTAACTATCGTTTTGCTTGCATCTCAGAAATTTGGTTTAAAGGCTACAACTGGAATGCATGGCCAGTGCAGAGAAAAAATAAATTAATTAAACAAAATTACACCCGCCTGTAGTAATCCTCCCATCTATGAAATTTCCCACACAAAATTGTCTTTGTAACAAAACTCTTTTTATGCAAATCACAACCAAAACAAAACTAAGTTGCATTAGAAGATTTTGAAAAACATTTTTTTAAGCATTTAATAATGAAATTTAATAATTTTATTTTTTTTTAAATTTGGTGCAACTTAGTTTTAGTCTTTTTCCCATTGAATTTTTTTCTAATTTTTTTTACTATTTTTTGAATGAACACAGATCGTCCTGCAGCCCGTGGCCGTTATGGCAATTTCAATAACGACGATCGTTATAATGATCGCAACCAGGATCGCAATCATCGTGAAGGCAGCTTTGGCGGCCAAAGTCGAGATGGTGATCGCTACAATAATTTCAGTAGGAATCGTGGCGGCGATAGAGAACGCGGTCATTTCAATCAAAATGATCGTCCCCCATCTGCTGCTGCACCCCTGGGCAGTATAGGTAAGTTTGAGAAAAAAGAAAACAATTTTTTTATAAATATTTCGATTTTTTTTTTATAACAAATCAATTTTAGGAAGAAAAAAAACTTTAGAACAGAGTTCCAATATTTATCTGTAGAGAAAAATTTTCTCAGATTTGAGGTCTTATTTTTTATTGAGGCCAAAATTTCTCAGAAAAAAGCCTTAGAATTGAAGTCTAAATCATTTTGTTGAGAGGAAGAAAACTCCACATCTGAAGTCTGATTTTTTTCTGTAGAGAAAGAAATCCCGGAGTTCTGAATGTTTTCTATACTGGAAAAAAGTACTCAGTTATGAGGTCAGATTTGTTTTTTCTGTATCAAGAATAAAACAGAAATTACGAATAGTTTTTTATATAAAACAAATGAAATGGTATCAGTCGGGTTTGCCGACAGATGTATAACCCCCGGCTTAAAGTTATGATTATTCAAACGTTTGACCCTTTATGGGGGAGGTTTCGAAGCAGTTGGCCAATACTGACCAATTTGTACCTGACCTAAGACTTATATAAATATTACAGCGTGCGACTACTTCCTATACTTTTTATGAGATATGTACAAATTTTTGGAAAATGTGGAAATATGCGAGAGGTAACAGATACAGCGGACCGTCTCATACAGGGCCATAATTTTTAATTTTTTTTTTAATTTTATTGAATTAAAGCAAAAAATGTTGGAAATAGCATCAAATTTTAGAACAAGTATAGATTTGTTTGCATTAGTCACCTTTGGCACGAATTTTGGCCTTCACACGGCCAATGAAACCGTCACACGCTGCCCGAATGTTACTCTGCGGTATTTTGGCCCATTTCCGGTGAAGCGCTTGCTTGAGGTGGACCGATATATTCCATCTTCACACCAGACTTTTGGTTAATAAGAAAATGTGATTTGTGCAATTTGAAGAGAACCGCATGCGTATTTCGTATTTTAAGATAGTTGTAGTTATTCAAAACTTTGACCATTTGTGAGGGAGGTGCCAGAAGGAATAGTTCGATCTCGACCTTCCCTTTAGCAAAACTTGTGTTGATGGTAATATTGAGATGTGCTAAGTCTGAATGGAATCGGATGTTAATTTTGCGTTGTGCTTCAATGATATTCAAAATTGTGACCATTTGTGGAGGAGATACCAGAAGGAGTGGACCAATATATCCCATCTTCACATCAGATCTTGTGCTAGTAGAAATAAAAGGATATGTGAAATATGAAGAGAACCTGATGCTTATTTCGGATTTTATGATTGTTTTGGTTGTTCAAAACTATAACTATATCAGAAGGAATAGTCCAATCTCTACAGATCCAATATTTATAACAGATCTTGTGTTTATGGAAATATTGAGATGTGCCAAGTCTAAATGGAATCGGATGTTAATTTCGTTTGATGAATATTCAAAATGTTCACCCTTTATGGAGGAGGTACCAGAAGGAGTGGACCAATGTATCACATCTTCTCACCAGACCTTGAATTAATAAAAATATTGTGATGTGTGTAATTTAAAGAGAACCGGATGCTTATTTCGGATTTAATGATCGTTTTGGTTATTCAAAAATTTGATCCTTTGTGGGGGAGGTAACAGAGGGAATGGTCCGATCTCTAACATCTTTATAACGGAGCTTGAGTTGATGGAAATATTGAGAGGTGCCAAGTCTAAATGGAATCGGATGTAAATTTCGTGTTTTATGAACCACATGGATATTCAAAATTTTGAACCTTTGTGTGGAAGGTACCAGAAGGAGTCCACCGATATATTCCATATTCACACCAGACCTTGGGTTAATAAAAATATTGTAATGTGTGTAATTTAAAGACAATCGGACACTTACATCACATTTTATAAGAGTTGTTATTATTCAAAATTTTATCCTCTTTGGGGGAGGTACTTGATGCAGTTGGCCGATATTGCCCATTTTCGCACCAGACTTAGCACTGATGCAAATATTAGGATTTGCAAAGTTAGAGCAAAACCGGATTATCCTTTCTCTTTCTGGGCGGTAAATTATTTTCATTCAAAATGTTGACATTTTGTGGGGGGTGTACCAGAAAGAGTGGACCGATATTGCCCATCTCCGAACTCGATCTAAGTTTGACAATAATATTACGATGTACCAAGTTTGGATCAAATCGGATACTCCCTTAGGGACTAAAATCGTTATTTCGATGAGGCACGTTTTGGCCGTACCTATTGCTGGATATATACCCTCTGTAGCCATGTGGCTGAGGGTATAAAAAGTTCTTAGAAAAAATTCCTAGATTGACGTTTCCATCGAAGGGATAGCATTTCTCAAAGATATAAATAAATCCTCAAACCTGAAAACTCAGTCCTTGACGCAGGTTATTTATAAAAAAATCTATAGCCATTAGTCTTGTCTTGCTCGGACATTTAGTTAGTAAAAGAAATTCCGTAAATTCTTAGGCAATTCGTAATCAGTGGTTAACAAGTCCTTTAGGGAATATTCCATAGACTAAAATTTTTAATCTCCATCCTGCCTTTCAGCAGTCCTCCAGTCCTTCAGAAAACATTTTGGAAAAATTTTAAGATTTTTAATCTTTTCCTGTTTTTTTTTTCTTTTTAGATGACAGCGAGAGACCCCGACTTCAATTGCAACCTCGAACCGTAGATGCCCCCATCAATGGTCTTGCGGAGACAAAGCAGGCAGCTGCTATATTTGGTAATGCCAAACCACGCGAAGAAAAACTCAAAGAAGCCAGAGAGCAGGATGAAGACAATTAAACGCTGCTTAATATCTATTTTATCGAGAGAAGAATATACCACAACAAAACTACGAAAGAAAGAATAACAAATAAAGCAGAGCAGAAGAAGTTAAACAAAAAACAAACAAAGTAAAAATCTACAAAATTTTAACTATTTTTCGATGAGAAAATAAAAACAAAACAAACCAACCAGCAAACAACAAAAGAGAAACAAGAGAGAGAATTATATGCAACATAAATAAAGAGAACGAGAGATCTTAACTATCTACATACATACAATATATATATGTAAAACGATTAACTGAAAAGAATATTAAAAAAAAAATACAAAAGCCGGAATAAGGAAAATTTATTAAATCAACAACAACAATATATATATTTAAAACCAACAACAACTACACTTTATGCGTAATACCAAAAACCAAAAAAAATTATAAGAGAACAGAAACAACAGTTTATTTTGTTTTAACCACAAGAGGAAAGCCACAAAACAAGCTAACGAGAGAGAGAGAGAGAGGGAGAGCGAGTGAAATTAACTGAAACAAAAATTTATGACTCTAAAAGTAAATGATTTATTTTGGAATTGAACTAAAGTGAAAAACATTTTGGAAATTGGACTTTTTGCAGAATCAGAAAGATTTTTTAAATTAGAATATTATTTGTTTCTTATTTTTTTTTATAAAAAAAAACTTGTCTAAAAAATACTTGAAAAACATAAAATCTATATATTAAGAATAAAAAATATATACATAAATATTTATATATTATATACAAATATATAAATATTGAAAAAAAAAACAAAGTCCAAAATTCTTTTACAACGCCCCCCCCCCACTAACCTAAAAACAAAAAAACAATAGCAACAAAAGGATAACATAAATTGTTGGCATTCTGGTGTTTTTGGATTTTTTCGAAAAGCAATATACAATAATTAAAACTAAAGTAGACTATGCTTCTTCTTCTCCTATTTAAAAAATAAAAACAAACAACAACACATCTGTTTAATAAACAAAAAGAACAAAAAACAACCCCACTTTTTAAACAAATAAAGATAACTTTAATACACATACTTATATACTTTGCATTACATACATACTATAAAACAAAACTAATTTGAATATATACCAATAATAACAAAAACAACAAGATAAAAGATAAATATTGTAATTAAAAGTAATAAAGGAAATATAAAACCCAAACACCATCCCTCTATTCAAAAGTAATTACTCATATTTTAAAGCTTAAGAAGGCATTGCAGGTTTATTTTAGCTTCTAAAAAGTCTAACACCCTTGCCACCAACAACACCACCACACAAAACTAAACCAAAAACTTACCCTTTTCACCCCGACACTACAAATATCCACATTTGACAGAAAGAAACACGATTTTAAAAGCTAATTGATAAAAAAAAAACTTTTTATCCTCCCCCTTAGAAACTTAAGTAAAATTCTTAGCTGAATTGCAATATAACCTAACATACATAAAAAAATCTTTCGTTTCGTTTTTTTTGCCAACAACTCTCTCCCAGCGGCTTGTGTGTTTCGTTTCAAAAAATACTTCCTTATATCACAAAATTTTCTTCTCGGTTTTTTGTTTGTGAATTTTTGTTTTAAGAAAGCAAAGAATAATCGTACACCCAACCTCGTTTCTTATAATTATTCATATTTTTATTATTATTAATTAATTATTTTTTTTTTTTAAACTAACAAATTTTTTAAGTAGTCTTAAAACAAACAAAAAAAAGAATTCGCATCCTAACAAAACAAAATACATATATATATTTTTTTTGGAGAATAAAGTAAATTTTAAAATATTTTTTTGTTATAACTTTGTTATAAAAAACGCTTTACTTTTTTTTTAAATACTAACAAAAAAATAAATATTTTGTTTATATTGAATATTTTGATATATACATTTTTTTTCAATTTCACAAAAAAAACGAAAATTTAAATTTTGTTTTTTTTTCTTCTTTAAACATAACCTCAAATTTGATATTTTTTGTTTATAACACACAAAAAAATACACTTCAAAATAAAAAAAAAATTGTCAAAAAAACCAACTCATCAATTAAGTAAAAATTATAAAAAATCCCAAGAAAAAATATACTATATATTGCATATAATATTACATTTTTTGTATAAGACAAAATAAAAAACAAAAAAATAAGCGTAAAACTTCCCCCAACAACAACAAAATATTTAGAAGTATATTTAAATATACTTTAAAGTAAATATAAAGTAATAATAATTAATAATAATAATAATAAACTGAGTAAAAGAAAAACAAATGCATACAATTAATTTTATGTTTAATAAATTAATAAATAAAATAATAAAAAATTCAAAAAAATTTAATATCAAAAATTGTTTTATTTCTTTTACAACGGGGTTGAGAAAAATTCCACACAGAAAAAAAAAACAAGCAGCTATAGAACAAAATCAGAACTCAGTTTTGGGGATGTTTTTCCAAAAAAAAAAAAAAACAAAATCTAATCTCAGGTCAGAGGGTGTTTTTCCAAAAAAAAAAAATCAAATCTCATTTCTGAGGAATTTTTATACCCTCAGTTATATAGACTATCATTTGAAACAGAAAAAATCTTACCTCATTGAATTAACGGTTTTAGACCATAGGTCTCTTTGGACCAAATCCGTTTCAGGACATTTGGAGACGATGTCGGAGTATCCGTCCGTCCGTCTCTCCGGCTGGCACGCACGATAACTCTCGAAGGAACAATCCGATTTGGTCCAAACTTGTTACATCGTAATATTATTATTATCAAACTTAGATCAAGTTCGAAGATGGACAATATCGTCCCACTTCTTTTGGCACCTTCACCACAAAAAATACCAAAATTTTCACAGATTATAATTTACTTTATACAGGAAGAAAGGATTATCAAATTTTCTGCAAACTTTGCAAACACTAATATTTTTATTAGTGCTAGGTTAAATGTGAAAATGGACGATATCGCTCCATTGCTTTTGGTGTCTCCCCCACATTGACTTTAAGAAGTAAAATAACCAAAAGGCTCAGAAAATGCAAAATAAGCATTCGATTCATTCTAAACTTCAGTCATTTCAATATTTATATCGATACAAGATCTGGTGTGAAGAAGGAATATTTCGGCCCGCGCCGTTGGGTACCTCCCTCACTAAAGGGTCAAAATTTTTAAAAACAAAAACGCTCTTAAAATAGGACATAAGCTTCGGATTCTCTTCAAACTTCGCATATCTCAATATTTTTATGAACACAAGATTTGGTGTAACGATGATTGAGATCGGACCACATCTTCGGGTACCTCCACCACAAAGGGGTCAAAATTTTAAATAGCTAAAACGCTCATAAAATGCGAAATAAACTTCGGATTGTCTTAAAATTTCACAGACATCAATATTGTTACGAACACAAGATCTGGTGTGAAGATGAAATACATCGGTCCACTCCTTCGCGTACCTCCCACACAAAGCGGTCAAAGTTTTGAATAACCAAAATGCTCATAAAATGCGAAATAAATATCTGATTCTCTTCAAATTTCACATGCACCATGAATTTTATTGACACATAATCTGATGTGAAGATGGAATATATCAGTCTTCTCCTTCGGGTACCTCCCCCACAATCGGGTCAAAATTTTCTATAACCAAAACGCTCATAAAATGAGAAATAAGCATCCGATTCTCTTCAAATTTCAGATACATCAATAGTTTTATTAACACAAGATCTGGTGTGAAGATGGAATATACCGACTGACTCCTTCAGGTACCTCCCCCACAAAGCGGTCAAAATTTTGACTAACAAAAACGCTCATAAAATAAGAAATGAGCATTTGTTTCCTTTCAAACTCGGCACATCGGAATATTTTTTTGAACGGAAGATCTGGTGTGAAGATGGTACCTTCCACACAACGGTTCAAAATTTTGGATTACATATATCTCCTACAAAATGCGAAGTGAGCATCCGATTCCCTTTAAATTTCATACATCCCAATGTTTTTATTAAAATAAGATATGGTGTGAAAATATGGATATATCAGTCCACACCTACAGGTATCTCCCCCATAAAAGGTCTAAATTTTTGAATAATTATATCTCTCATAAAATGCGAAATAAGCCTTCGATTTTCTTCATATTTCACACGCCACAATATTTTTACAAACCCAGGATCTGGTGTCAAAATTGATGTCGGATTATACCTTCCGAGATTTTTTTATAAGGATAATCGGAACTCAGTTCTAAGATTTTTTCTGATTATCCATGATAATAAAAAAACACAATTTCTTTTGTAATTGTATATTTTATTTATTTATTTACGTTTGTTGTTGCTTTTTTTTTGTTCATTTACAAATATATTATTACACATAAATATGTATGTATGAATGTTAGTTAAGTTCTTTGTTTACAATTGCAAAAGTTTATAAATTCTTCCAAAAAAGAAAATAAATAATTTATTTATTATTTTTTTATTACTTATTTCGACAAATAGAAAAAATTTCGTTTTATTTAATTTTTTTTTTTTTCAAAAAATATGGCTGGGTTAGGGGTTAGTTGTTTTCTTTATTTTCTAAGAGAAATTTGAATTTAGTTAAGTGTGTGAATACAAATATATTTTTTTTAATTTCGAAATATTAAATTATGAAATTGGAATTGGTTGGAGGAAAAAATTACCAATAAAGGATGATGGTCCAATATAAAGGTAAATAATTTAATATATAGTACTATTAAATACAAATTGCGAAAGTGTCCGTTTCCCAGGGCCCATAAAATTGTACATGTTTAATGTCTTTATATATCCAATCATATTCTATTGGATATAGTGAGCGCCTATGTTTGGACCAGTCCCTTTTAAATTTATAAAATAATTCTATAGGTGCAAGTTCTATACATACAAGTATATATTTTTTAATTAGTATAAAAATTAGCACAAAAATTAGTAAACAATTGGTATAAAACTAATTAGTGGTTTTCAAAAAGTGAGGTAAGAAAGAAGGTTAATAATTTATAATAATAATGTATATGTCTAAAAAACAGTAAAAGTGTAATAAAAATTTCAACAAAATAAGACATGTTAGTACATATAAAACGTACAAACACAAATAAATGCAAATAAAATATTTTTTAGGGTAAATAAAAAAAATATATATAAATAAAATAAATAAAAAAATAAAAAAATTTAAATGACAAATTGTTTTGGAAAAAAATCTAAAAAGGTTAACAATAAAATACATAAATTGTTAGGAAATGCGGTGTTGAAAACTTAGTTTTGAAAAACAATTTTGTTCAATTTGTATTATTTTATTTTTTGAAATTTGTAAATTGAGGTATTCAAATGGCAGTGATTTTTGTAAATTTTGTAATCAAAAAGTAATGCTTTGTTCCAGAACTGCAAGAATCTAAAAGTTTTAACTACAATAACTGATTTTCCCTTTATTTTATCGAAAAATTGCAAAATTGGTAGATTCTTGCAGGTTCTGGACAAAAATTTGAGGTTATATTTTAGTTTTTGAGTCGCAGGGTTAATAATAACAGCTAAATAAGCAGCTATGTTCGACCTTTAATATCCTCCACCATTTGAAAAGTAACTTGCAAAATGTAAAAGAAATCCGTTGACAAATAGTCCTAAAATTTTAAAAATACCGAATGCCAATTATTTGCCACCGAAAATGTCACCTATTACAACCTCCAAATACCAAGTTTGAGATTATTCTGTTAAAAAATCTAGCCAAAATTATGAAAATACCGAATATTGCGAGGTACTGTCAAATAGGGACTATGCGAAGACGTAAATTCTTATAGGCAATTTTCTATCATACAAAGCAGTATCCACAGTGAACTCCATATCCTGAATTTAAAATAATTCTGGTGGAAAGTGTGATAAAAATCATGAAAAATCCGTGGTACTGTGGTATATGGGCTATTCGAACCTCTCTAGCCAATTAACCGCCAGCAAAAGCAGTACCTATTGCAAACTCCAAATACCAAGTTTGAGATAATTTTGTTGGAAAAATGTAGCTAAAATCCTGATAAAAACGAATATTGGGAGGTACCGATATTTAGGGGTTATATAAAGACATAGACCAAAATACACAATTTTCTATCATAGACTGTAGTACCCATTAGCAACTTTAAATACCAAATTTGAAACAATTCCGGTGAAAAATGTGATAAAAACCATGAAAATACCGAATATAGGGATGTACCGTTGTATGGAGGCTATACGAAAAAGTGGACCTGGCAGATAATTGACTATATCTGCCAGAAAAAAGCGGAGCTAATTACGAACTCCAAATACCAAGTTTAAGATAATTCCGTTGGAAAAATGTTGCTAAAATCCTGATAAAACCGACCATCGGGAGGTACCATTATGTGGGGGCTATTCG